TATCATATTGAATACCTCCTATAGCAAAATCTTACACTTCATGTGATAAAGATATGAACCCTTCTTCTTTCACTTTGTTATCTCTATGTGTGATGCTAAATTAATATTAAAAATCCATATCAATAGAGTCTTTAAATACAATCGCTAAAAATAGTTAAGAAATCTTAAAAATACATTTAACAACAACAACGACAATTCTTATATCTTGATTTCAATTTCTAACATCTTCTCAATTTCTATCATGTTTTTTTTTATTCCTAGCCAAGTGGCCATGCAAAATTGCAAAGTTGTACTAGTTATCTACATGATTAGAGTCTTAATAAATCCAATAATTAGGGACAAAACTCACATTTTTTTAGTTATTCCACATGCACCATACAATGTACTTCAACAGCATATCATATCTCCACTTTCACTCCACTTTCTGTATTTTTTTAATAAATAATAATTAGTAAAAATAAAGTCAAAGGCTAATTCAAGATCCATGGCATTTCTGTTAATAAATCTAAATTACAAGGACAAAACAGGAAGATCAAAAGTTCGATACTTGCAAAGACTTTTTTCCCATCTCTTGTGGGGCCTTAGTAATGGGAAGTAGTTTTGAGATAAATTTGAAATTAATTGTTTGGTGAGGGTATTTTAGTAATTTTTGCAAATAAATTCATTAAATCTCATGATATTAGCAATTTATTAAATAAAGAAAATGACATAAAAAGTCTACTATTTAAGGGAAAATAATAAGAGTAATTAATAGTAAAGATTGCCTAAATTTCTATAAAGAGAAATTAGCTTTATTAATGATGTAGACATGACATCATAATTGTTTAGGAAAATAAGGAAGTGGTCCTTTTATATATTAAAAAAAAGGAAAAAGGTGATATTTTTTTTCTCAATTTTTATTCAATGGACTTTTCTCTTTTTAAGAAAAAAGGAAATTTTGGAAAGAATAAAGAAATTGAAAGCGATTTTATGTAATTTACTCGTAATATATAACTAAATTTAGTCGATATATATTTACATTTATTTTATTTGATAGTGTCATATCATATTAATTTTATATTTTTTATTCACCTTTCTCCAAAATATTTACTGCTCTAAATAAATTGTTGTTATTCTTTTATTTAACTTCTTTTTTTCTCGTAAATCATATATTTTGATATCACTTATATCAATTGAATAAAAAGTTTGACTACAATTACTTTTGAGATAGATTTGAATTTAATGGTTAGGTGACTAGAATTTTGTAGTATTATGATGAAGTAATTTCATATTTAAAGTTTGTTTGAATTTTGAAATTTTAAATTGACCAATTTTAATGGAAAAGAGTAATTAATATTTGTTCAAACAAAATCCTAAAAGGGAAAATTTGTTTTAATTCTATTTGATGTGGATATGCACATCATAACTATTTAGGAAAATAATGAAATGTGTCCGTTTGTAATTGGGGATGGGGGGGAGATTAATATAATTTTAATAAATGAATTTTTCTTTTTTTCAAAAGAAAAAAAAAAGAAATTTGTCAAGTATACTAATATTGGGAAAAGGACAAATTTAAAACAAAAACAGAAACAAAAGAATTCAAATAAGTCTTTCATATTGGCATTTCCTAGTAATTATTGTCAAAAATATGTTTTTTTAATTATAAATTTATCTATTTAAAAATTACGTAAGATAATTTGAATACTTCTTGTTATTATACTTTACTTAAATCGATCGAGGTATCTTATAGAATTTCTCTATCTTTCCTCATATCTCACTTATGAAATCACACTAAATCTATATAAAATATACAATAACTATGATCACAATAGTTGAAAATTCATAATATCTATCCAGTAAAAAGTTAACAAAAAATATACACATTAGTTAAGCAATACGGGGTTCTCTTTTACAAAAAGAGGATCTAAGGGAATCCAAAGACCAAAAAACAATTAAAACTTTTGAGGAGGAATACTATACTATATAAGTAAATTATAATATAATATTATTATATTCCCATCCTATATGTAATAGTTGCTTGAATGTAATGGATGTGTGAGTTTGAATAAATTTCTACATTGATAGTCAAAAAGAAAAAGAAAGTTATTTTTTTTATATATATATATATATATATATATATATATATATATATATATATATATATATAAATAATTCTATAATGTGAGTGTCTAAATGAGGTTTGTCAGTAAGTTGAGAGGTTGTTGATGTATTTAGACTTGTTATAAATATGGAGTGCAATGCAGGTTCAAACTTTAAATATGAAATTCTTTTTACTGAAAGCGTTATCTCCAAATAAACTTTGTAACGTATGATTAAATTTAGTTAGAGGCTCGAAGCTTCAATACATACTACGAATCGAATGGATCTTTTAATTTGCAACTATATGAGTCGCTTTCTTTTTGTTAGTGTACTTTTGAATTCGGATGTAGATGTGACAATCATGCCAATACTATTTTGGACCATATGATTTATGAAAGAGCACATAGATTTTAGAGTGGTCATTCCTCTTATTGCATTATTTTTTTTCTATTGAGTGTTCGAAGTCTCGATTAAAATTGAATTTTCTTGGGGTCAAATTCAATATTTTTGATTAAGGGCGAAACAGTTTCACTATTGCATCACAATTCATATTAATCTCTTATTGCATTATTATTAGACTATAGGTTGTACTTTCTTTAATTTAATTTTACGAATCGTTTAATTCGCGAATTAAAAATCATGTGTCAATCAGACCAATCTATTTTACATGAAAAGAACAATATCACAAATGATAACTCAAATTTTACTTTATACCAAAATTCTAAATTATTTCATGAAAAAAAAAACTCATAAGTGCATCCACAATATGATGTGATATATATAATAAAGTTAGTAAAAGGCTACAAAAGAAAGTGAGCTACAAGTAATGATGACATCAAGTCCAAACACTTTGGCCTATGGATTCTTGATTTATTCTCCATTTTCCTAGTGCATGGAATCTAAGAATAGGGTAGGTATAAACATTGAAAATTGAATTATATCAAACTGATTTATCTTTTCTTCAAAAGTTTCATATGGTACTCAAATTATTAAAATTAAGCTTATCGAACGATCAATCCTACTAAATATATTGTTTATCATATGTATATATGGGTAATATTAACAAGTGAACGAGTGATTTAGATGTTTCGATTGACATGTGAGTTGTGACACTAAATTCATGATGTTATATTAGAGTTTGAGAATGGAGATCTGACCTCTAGTTTGATTTATCTAATAACATGCTAAATATTGGATGAATTATCAACTTATCTTGTCAACATATTTTTCTCTTTAATATGTTATTGAATTACTGTAATTTATGGTATATATCGGATCGAACTATAAAAGGAAAAAAAAAGTCCTAATTAAAAGAAACTATACTTTTTTGCTTTAACAATAATGTCGTGCTACCTAGTAACAGAAAGTGAGGCACTGAATATAAATATTTAGCCAAAAAAGTGTTTTCTGTCCTTTTTTTTCTGTTTTATTTCATCTTTTTCCTCAACAGAATTTAGAGTCGATCTTTCAATTAACGGAAAAAGATAAAAAAAAAATGTCCTTAAATTATGTGAGATAAATAATACTCTATTTTACATTTATGGTTTGATCTAAAAATATCTTTGCCTTCAATACATGATCCAAAAATACCCTTACCATTAATAGTTTAGCCCAAAAATACCTTTACAAAAAAAATGAATATAAATATGATATTTGTCAAGAACAAAGGAGAATAAGAGATGGATAGTATGGAAAAGAAAGTTGACATTGAGAAATAGTCATTGAAATAGCGGCAAAGTTCTTAATTTTTCTATATGAAAACATTAAGTACTATTTTTCAAAGTATAGGTAAAATCTACAAATGAATTTCAAACGTGAATCATGCACGTGCATAATTTATGCCATCGCTCATTGAATAGTACAAATTAAATTTTCTTAAACAAGTAATATGTCAAGTTTCAAATTAATTTTGTAACTTAGAACATAAATATTTGTAATTATCCTATTTGTGTCATAAAGCTCAAAATAATTACATGTTCATAACATAATCCAAAATAATTCATGAAATATCCATTATCTCAAAAAAAAAAAGTTACAGCCCATACCCTCATTCATTAAGGTTGATAATTTTTTGCTTAATTGATATTAAATCAATATCATATATAATATTGATATCATTAAAGCTGATAATTTCGCTTAACTGATACAAAATCAATATATATATATATTGTATTGCTATTATTAAGGTTTCTTGTTATGAAATTATTCATTAGTCAATGATACTATAAGAGTATATGTATATTGTTGTGGTATCATTAAGGCTTCTTGTTCAAAAATTACTCATTAGTCAATAATATAATAAGAGTGTGTGTATTATATATATAGTTTCTTGTTCCAGCCTCAATGATACCATCAGTTAAGCGAAATTAGTTAGGGGTATATAGTGAAATTATTTAGTGGGATATGAATGTAAAGGGGTATATAGTGAAATTATTTGTGTCTGTCAATTGATCCCAAAAAAGTTTAATTCTACTCCTATTATGTAGTGGAAGAACAAGACACTAAAGAAAGAAAAAAAAAGATGCTTTGAGAATTAGGTTTCAAGGCTATAAGCCCTGAAGTAAGGCTAAAAATGCATACTTTTTCGAAAAGGCGCCACTAAACAATTGACAATTGATATTTCAGGTAAAAAAAAAAATCATTTTCTCTGTTCATATATTTGGCATTTGTGCTTATAATTATTAATGTTTGTATTTTTTCTTCCGTTGCGTCTTTTTTCATTAAAGCCTATTCTTTATTTGAACTTTAAGCTTAAAGTCCGTTGTGCACACTTGTAGAAGCACCTTTAGTTTGTTCATTTATTGCACAATAGGATGTGACTTAGTGATCGATGAAGTAGTAGGAGAATCGTGAGGTTAAGAAAATGCTAGGTAATTTCTATTTATCTGCCTAGAATTTGGTGGGCAGAGACGCAGAGTTACATGATTCATGTGTTGGTAGATTGTATTCTGTTACTGTATATGGGGGACATTGTGAAGTTTGTTCTTGACATTAGAGGAGCTCTTACTGCATATATTTCATATGCAGTTATCGATAGATGGATGCTTTATGTATCCAGAAATGGTGTCAAGAAGCTAACTCTTCGCGTTTCAAATGATGATACCTATACATTGCCTTCTTCTATTTTTAATTGTTCAACATTGACACATTTGAAACTCTCCAACTGTGTTTTCAAACCACCCGATCCCTTTCTTGGTTTTCAGAATCTTGTTACCCTTCATCTGGAAGGGACAACCTTTGTGCCAGCCACATCATTTTGTGTTATCAAGGCCCCCCTTCTTGCTGAATTGCATTTGATCTTGTGTCGTGGTACACAATACCTAAACATTGTTTCACCAGGGCTGGAGTTCTTGTTCTTTCGTGATAGTCACTCATATCTCATGCTAGATTGCTTTATGAACTGCAAGAATATAAGACTGTTAAAACTTGAATTTAACGGAGTGGTTTATAATCCAACAAATGATAAAATATCAACTTTGGTAAGTAATGGAAAATTATGTGGTCTTGCACTTGATATGTGTATGGTCTGTTTCACTTTTGCACTTCATATTTGTGAACATGAGAATCTAAAATGACCTAGGTGTCTGTCTATACCATTATTAGGTTCATGATACCAGGACAATGCCGAAGCAACTTTGAAGTATCTGGACACACCATCCTTCTTGGAACGACCACTCCACAAGCTAGAGCACATTGCCATCAACTTTTTTAAGAGTTCAAAACCTGAACTACTTTTTGTAAAGCTATTGCTTTCTCGCACTCCATCTCTTTTAAAGATGTGCATTGTTCAGTTTTCAAACATTGACAGTGATAGTGCCTTAGAATTGATGCGTTTCCCCAGAGCTTCTCCCAGGGCAGAGCTATTCTATTCTTGACATAAGGTTGATATGTGAATATGCTGATCAAGGAAAGCTTAGAATTGAAACATCTTGAAATACATTATCTTGCAACGCTCTAAACGTATTCTGTAAAAAGTTGGCGTTCCTTTATTAATAGATGTTTTGGAAGCTCAGTCTCCGTCGATGAGTTTGATATGATTAGTACTTGAGCAATCTTTTGCTACATTTCTCTGTATTCTACTTCTGATTCAACTTGCATTGGCTATTGAGAAATAGGATGTTTGATGGTTTAGCAGAAAGTGCTATTTTGTTCACAACATTGTCTATATTGCTAGTTAGGATTCTTGTCATTGTTGTACAGATTGTGGTGCTATACAACTTTCCTGCTAGTGGTCTAATTTCCTTGAGTTTTTTAACAAAGAAAGCAGCCTAGTTTCCTTCTGAAACAAGTCTCTCTACCTTCACGAGGTAGGGTAATGTCTGTGTTCACTTTACTATCTCCAAACCACACTTGTGGGATTTTACTGGGTATGTTGTTGCCGTTGTTTTGGACAAAGAAGGCCTCTGAGTGTCTTTTAGAGACAATTTCTCTACCTCCATGAGGCACGGGTAAAGTCTACCTACATTCTATCATCTCCAAATTTTACTTGTGGGACTTCATTAGGTGTGTTGTTATTTTGCCAATGCCATAAAGCATTCTTGGGCCAATAGCCACATTGGTTTGTGGCGCACATATCTTGGTAAGATGGATGATTTATACAAAGTTAAAGTGTTGTTTAGACATACAATTTAAATATTTTAAGTTCTATTTTTTCTTGTAAACATAAAAATTTCATAAGTTGTGGAAATAATCAATTTTTTTTGTCAATCTTACCAAATGAGCAAATTATAGTTCATAATCAGGATATTGAAATATCCTAAGACGCCGCATTGCTAAATCACTAATCTTTGTGTTCCTTTTATAAATAAATATTTGCGTTTAAAATTTTTCAAATACACCAAATTTTATAACGATCCACTCTTTAATAATAATGATAATTAGTTATTCTTTAATATAATCCTTTCATTAAAAAAAAATTCTCCTTCCTCTGAAAGTTCAAAAACTAATCACCAGTTTTGCTGAATGAGTGGTTAAACCTCCAACAAAGAAATTATAAACTTCGATTATGATTTAAATGAGTCCCAAAATGGCTATCGGTGCACTTTCCCTAGTTAAGAGAATATTCTCCTTGTCTCCTATTAATTGTCCACTTTATTATAAGGTATAGTACAGAGGCGTATCTAGAGGGGAGCCGTGGGTTCATGTGAACCCATGTTCCCCCCTCTAGGCCATATATAGTTGTGTTATATTTTTTATAAAAAAAAATTAAATATAGATGTGTGAACCCATGTTCAAAGTATCATATAATAATACGATGATACGATGATGATTGGGTGCACATCTCTGAGTGTGGATAGAAATTTAAATCTTATATCTATCTTGTCTTTTTGAGCAACACTTTTCCAAGTGGTTATCGGTTACACTTTTGACGTTTCAACTAATTTTGCTTTTGTTTTTTCTTTAATCTTTCAAAAATATCAAGTGTGTTACATTGAAAATTCCTAAAAAATTTAGCACTGTAAATTTTTTATATAATTAAATCAAATGTGTATATTAAAATTTAAAACTAGTAGTATTATATATTTTGGACCTATAATTTTTAAAATTTAATGGTTCATATTAAGAACTAAAAGTCAAATCGATCAAATTTATATTTAAGATACATTTTTCGTAATCGTGCACCTATCTAACCAGAATCCTGGATACGCCTCTGGTATAGTACACAGGGGCGGACTCACATACACCCGATAACTTTTTTAAAAAATAGTTGATAAAACGATTATATATTTAATTATGCACTCTTAAAACTAAAAGTCACTTGGGTGAATTGGTCGAAGTTGCCCACTCATAGCGCGGCTGCGCGATTTTGATTCCCGTGGAAGGTAATGTTTTTTTAACTTTAAAATCAATTTTTTCTTTAGAGTTAAACCTTTTTAAAAATTTCTTTTATTAAAACTCATTTTGCCACCTCATCTGGTCCCACCCACTTCCTTATCTAAACACAAATAAAAGCCCTGTCACAATTCTAAATAAAATATAAGATAGCTAGAAAATCTACCACTTGACAATTCTAAACAAAATATAAGAATGCTAGAAAATCTACAACTTATAAGTATTTTTCACTACACAATTAAAGTCTACTCCTATCATCTCTGCATAAATTGGTAAGCTCTTCTTTTTAAGCGTTTTTTTTTTGTAAGAATTTGTTGTTGTTTCTTGTGATTTGAGACGGATAGACTATGTAAAGAGAAATGCATGTGATTTTTTCACGAAAACTGGTTTTAAGACTTGAAATCTTAGTTTGGAACGATTCAATTTACATTATGGTGAAGTAAATAGCGTCCACAATAGATGTTTCAACAAGATGCTAAATTTTGAGAATCAATCTCAATCCATTCAAGTTGCTTTTAACAAGCAATCTGAGAAAACAAGAAGTGGGCATCAAATACATTTAGAGGCTTCTACTATGTGGCAAGGTTCCTCTTGGAATTTGGATCGTCTTTTTGAGGTCATGATGAAAGTGAGTCCTCAAAAAATAAAGGCCATTTTTTAGGTTTTTTGGATTGGCTTGAAAAAATGCTTCCGAATATGAACAATGTTATTTTAAAACATGCTAAAAAAAATGCTATGATGACTTCTCCAAAAAATGTTACCGTTACCCTTGTGCCACTCCTAGCCTTACCCTTGAGTCACTCTTAGTAGTACCCCATATCTTCAAATCTTGGGTTCGCCTCTGATGGTACATAAATATGTCTTTCACCTTGGCTTCAACTTGCATCTATGCCCTCCAATTTTGAGTGTGTACAAGTAGACACTTAAAGTTATATAAAATCGAACAAATAGATACATTCGTCCTATGTGACGTCATACATGACAATTTTGTATTCTATGTGGCGTTCTACGTGTATTATACCAAGTAGTACGTGTGTGTACTTGTTAAATTTTTTACAAATTTAAATTGTTACTTATGCTACATAACTATAGTTCCTTTTGCGATGCAGGTTGCAGATGTATATTTCTATCTCTTTGTATATTTCGCTTGCGAATATACAAATAGGGTAAATATTTACAAATTTTGTATTTATACATTTACGATTTTTTTAAAACTTTGTTTGTATATTTCTCTTGCCAATATACCAACAAAGTAATTTGTTATGATTTTTTCATAAATCGTATACAAATAGCTACGATAAGCAAATACAAAATTCTGAATTTATACAATCAGGAATCGAATTATACACATTCTGGATTTATACAAATCAGGTGAATATCAAAATTCAAGACTGTGCGAAACTATACCTGCGAATGAAAATTTCCCTAAACAATAGCTATAACGTTTAATATGATTTAAATGTTTGTTATTCTCCACAATTTTCCCTATAAATTTTGATTATAACCTCCAAATGGGCCATTTTTAAGGCCCAGCCCATACTTAGCTCTCTCTTCCTTCATTATAAAAATAGTACAAAAAAAAAAAAAAAAACAGAAAAAAGCTTTCCTCCTTCCTAAGTTTTGCTAAAATTTCACACATTGCAGCAAAAAATTCTCTAATTTTCCCAATCAACATGACTCAAGGTATGCAAATGCTCTCTTTTGTTGTTTTTTTTGGATTATGAAAGTGGATTTGTGTCTATACTTCCAGTTATTTACTAACCTGAAGTGGAAATATTACTATTCATACATGAAATTTGAAGTCTTAAAATTTGATAAAGTAACTTAGATTCATCATTTTATGAGTTGTGTCTGTCAATTGATCCCAAAAAAGTTTAATTTTACTCCTATTATGTAGTGGAAGAACAAGACACTAAAGAAGAAAAAAATATGCTTTACTTGAGCCCTGAAGTGAGGCTCAAAATGTGTTGAGCACTTCACCTAGCTTAATGTTCTAACACATACTTTTTCGAAGAGGCGCCACTAAACAATTGACAATTGATATTTCACTTTATGGTTAAAAAAAAAAGGAAAAATTACTAAAATACACTCAGAAGTCAAGCAAGAATCGACTTCACACACTAAGAATATCATCATTATCTGAGAAAGAGCTTAAAAGATCAAATAAGATGAAGGATTTTCCTTTTTTTCATACTACGATATTGACTAAGCTAAGAGAGTCTTATATTTCCCTTATTTCTAATATTCCCTTTTATTTCTAAAAACCTCTAAAATCCCTTATTTCTCTCCTAATTCTAAATTATTTTATAATGTATCTGAGCTAGTTTTTAATGTATCCGAGCTACATATTATTATGTATCCGGTTTATTTTATAATGTATTCGAGCTAGTTTTTAATGTATCTGAACTAACTGTTATGTATCCGGTTTGTTTTACTTTTTCAGGGATTAATGTAATTACAAACTAAATAGGGATAGATTGTAATTTCATATTAAAACTACGTGATTCCTAAAATTTATACTAAAAGAAAATCAATTTTTTTGTCCATGTATTTGGCATTCGTGCTTATAATTATAAGTGTTTGTATTTTTTCTTCCGTTGCGCCTTTTTTCATTAAAGCCTATGCTTTATTTGCACTTTACGCTTAAAGCATGTTGTGCTTTTTGTTTTTTGATAACACTTGTAGAAGCACCTTTAGTTTGTTCATTTTTTGCACAATAGGATGTGACTTAGTGGTCAATGAAGTAGTAGGAGAATCATGAGGTTAAGAAAATGCTAGGTAATTTCTATCTATCTGCCTAGGATTTGGTGGGCAGAGACGCAGAATTACATTATACATGTGTTGGTGGTAGGTATGACGTATTTAGTGTAATATTCGATGTGCACGCAAGATGGCTCGGACATCACGGTCGTTAAAGATAAGACACCGCTTAACTTAAGGGACTAATTAGGTACGACGTATTTAGTGTAATATTCGATGTGCACGCAAGATGGCTCGGACATCACGGTCGTTAAAGATAAGACACCGCTTAACTTAAGGGACTAATTTGATTTTTTTTTCTCCATATTCTTCTAACAGATGGAACAAGATGTGTCATTGAAGGGGATAGTGAAGATAGAATCAGTGGTTTACCAAGAAATGTTATCGATCGTATCCTTGAGCTCATACCAGTTGAAGATGCAGCAAGAACTAGTATTTTGTCTCGAAACTGGAGATATATTTGGGCAACATTTCCAAATCTTGTGCTGGATTACCGCTTCTGTCGTAATTTTGAAGGAAAGTTGGAATTCAACTTCAAAGAAGCGGTAGATTGTATTCTGTTAATGCATATGGGGGACATTGTGAAGTTTGTTCTTCATACTAGAGGAATTTTTTCTGCAAATTCTTCCTATGCAATTATCGATAGATGGATTCTCTATGTCACCAGAAATGGAGTCAAGATACTAACCCTTCGCACTTCAAATGATGATACCTATACTCTGCCCTCTTCTATTTTTAATTGTTCAACTTTGACATATTTGGAACTCCTCTCCAACTGTGTCTTCAAACCACCCAATCCCTTTCTTGGTTTTCAGAATCTTATTACCCTTCATCTGGAAGGGACAACCTTTGTGCCAGCCACATCATTTTGTGTTATCAAGGCTCCCCTTCTTGCCAGATTGGATTTGATCTTGTGTCGTGGTACGCAATACCTAAACATTGTTTCACCAGGGCTGAAGTTCTTGTACATTCGGGACAGTCACTCATATCTCGTGCTAGATTGCTTTATGAACTGCAAGAATATAAGACTGTTAAAACTTGAATTTAACAGAGTGGTTGATGATCCAACAAATGATAAAATATCAACTTTGGAGAAGCTTCTTATTAGCTCTCCTTCACTTGAGGTACTCCGTTTAGATTCATTCTTTGTTGAGGTAAGATATTGACTACCTGTTTCTCTTGATATCTTATAGTGATGGCAATTTCGTATGATTCTAATTATTGTGTTTTCTTCAAAGCGTGCACGCATTGTTCCGAATGGGCAACCTTCTACACTCAACTGCTTGTGGCATCTATATTTAGATGTAGACTTCAGCAAAATGGGTCAGATTTCTAATGTTCTGCAGTTAATTAAGAGTTCCCCCAATTTGAGGAAACTCCGTATTTCGGTAAGAAAAGAAAATATATGCACGATCTGGTTCCTTTTTGCACTTCATATTTGTGAACATGAGAATCTAAAATAGCTTGGTATTTTCTTCATATGCATATTAGGTCCATGCTACAAGTGACAATGCTGAAGCAATCTTGATACGCCATCCTGCCTGGAACAACCACTCGACAAGCTAGAGCACATTTTCATCAACTTTTTTAGGAGATCAAAAACTGAACTGCTTTTTGTAAAGCTATTGCTTTCTCGCACTCCATCTCTTTTAAAGATGTGCATTGACCAGGTTGCAGACATAGACGTTGATATTGCCTTAGAATTGATGCGTTTCCCCAGGGCTTCTCCGAGGGCAGAGCTATTCTATTCTCGGATAACTCTGTGATTTGAGTGTTGGAAGGCAGACTGATGCTTATCCGTTGTCAATTAGTTTTGTTAAAACAAGGGATGAATTGGCAAATTTTGTAAAAAATGTGTGGTACCTTTGTGCATATGTTCTTCACTAGATGTTTTTGATGCTCAGCATGCGTCAATGTGTTTGATATGACTAGATGTCTTTTGCTATATTTCTTTGTATTCTACTTCTGATTCAAGTTGCACTAGCTATTGAGAAATAGGATGTCTGATGGTTTAGCATAAAGTGTTATTTTTTTCATACCATTGTCTATATTGCTAGTTAAGATTCTTGTCACTCTTGTACAGATTGTTGTGCTATACAACTTTCCTGATAGTTGTCTAATTTCCTTGTGTTTTTGAACAAAGAAGGCAGCTGAGTTTCCTCCGGAAACAAGCCTCTCTACCTTCACGACGTAGGGATAAGGTTTGTGTACTCTTTACTTTCTCCAAACTATGTTTGTTGTATTTCGCTGGATATGTTATTGTTGTTGTTTTGAACAGAGAAGGTAGGAGGTTGTGGGAAACATATGAAGCCAGATTGTTAAGTGTTACTAGTTGCCAATGCTGTAAAGTGTTTTTGGGCCAATAGCCACATTAGTTTGGGCCATTACTTTCACGTATGATCACTGAACTTTACTCGATTATTAGTCTCAGATTGTTCCAACAAGTAGTAATATTGAGTTAACTCACCTTTGGAGAATCGCGACCCTTTGTCCTCACCATTTTATATAGCATATGTTTCGTGGAGGAGTTGTGATTGTCATTTTATGAGGAAGAGTCGAAATAGAATTAACTTGAACTTAGACATGTTATTCGAAATCTCAATGAAGTTTAATTACTTTAATGTAACAAAATATTTTTATTTAGCTATGAAGTAGACAAAGTTTGATGATCATAGGTAAAATTAACATATATGAAAAGTATCTGAATAATTTAATGTTAATCATTATATTACGACAAATACAATGAGAACTTAATAAACAAGTAGAAGCATATTCTAAATCATCTCCAACTCACCTCTATTTTACTCTCCATTCTTTATATTTGGAGAGTAAAATAGAGAATGCACTCTTCAATCCCTCTCCATATCATTCTCTATACTCCATTTATAGAGAGGTGAATAGGAGTTCTCCAAATTTGGAGAACTACTATTCACACTCTCTATTTCACTTTTTGAATAATTTTATTATTATTTTTTATTACTTTCTAATTAACATATTATTTTACATATAATGTCATTAATTAAATATCTAATATTCCTACTTCTTTTTAAATGTAATATAATATTTAAAAAATATATTATTTAATATATACTACTTTCATTCAGAATTAATAGTATTTTAATTTTTTCTAATTTTCGTCGACAATATAATTTGATTTTATTATTAATTTTCACTATAAAAAATACACATAATTAAAATGATAAGATGAAAATTTTAATTTAAAAATACAACACATAATATGATATTTTAAATATGATATTTTAAATATAAGATAACAATACAATACATAACATAATAATTAAAATACAATACATAACATAATAATTAATTCGCGATGAAACAAGAATCATGTCGAAAAGATGTTAAACGTGCATTCAGAGTTTTGCAATCACGTTTTGCAATATTTGCAGGACCGTCACATTTTTGGAGAAATGAAGTGCTACATGATATAATAATTACATGTATTATACTGCACAACATGATAATTGAGGATGAACGTGATCTTAATGCACCAATTCAAGATGTCGTAGAGGCTCCAACTACAACGACAAAAATGGAGGTAGATGAAAATCTCCGATTTGAACAACTTTTAGCTAGACATGAGAAAATTAAGGACAAAAATGCTCATTTTGAACTCCATTATGCATAAATAGAGCATTTATGGGAGCAACGTAATAATTTCAAAAATTGAGTGTTTATGTAATTGTATTTCACTTTTATTTGAATTTGTCCATTAATTTGTATATTATATAATATTTTCTTGCAATTTATGTTATTTAAAATTTAGAATAAAAAATAATTTTATATTAAAATAACAAAAATTGAAAAAATAAAATTTTATATCACAAGAAAATTATATAAAGTAATATTGAGAAAAAGAAATAAAAAATTTATATTATGAAATAAGAAAATAAGAATGAAATAGAAATAATAATATAATATTGAGGAGAGAGAAAAAAAATTCTTTTTTAGAGCGAAAAATAGAGAATTGGATTGGAGTTGATTGTCTGGAAAAATAAAAAATTCTATATTTAGAGAGTAAAATAGAGTGTAGGGTTGGAGATGCCATAAGATCAACCAATTGGATAACACATCCTCATGTATACACTAACAATGATTAATAAAAAACTCAGAGAAATAATATAAACGCTAAATCAAATGGTGTAGACGTGTAGTATGACAGATGAAATCTCTTCTTCTTTAATCAAAAGATATCGCGTTTGAGTTCTAGTTAAGAATGATAATGTCTAGAGTGTTTTCCTTTACTAGATTATACACAATAACAAATTCGAATTAATCAGATAAGTGAATTTCAAATATCCATATGAGAGATGCTTTTGTCTGAGAGATTTGTTTTTCTTTTTAATATTAAGGGCCAGACCCATTATTGATCCAAAAAAAGGAAAAATATATCTATCATATCGTTATATTATTATTATTTTTTCATATTTTAGTTTTATGTGTTCCAACTTCCAAGTATTATTCTAGTTTTGTACAAACATATATACTATTGTGGATTATTATTGTCCACAAATCTTGATCAACGTTACAAAGTCAAGTTGATATTGATAGTGCATAAAGTTTGATTAAATATTATTCAAGTTTTGAATTTTCAATATAATGTGTTCCTCACTTTATATTATGCAGTTTACTTGTACAAATTCATATCAAATCAAACTCATGAATAATATTTTCTAAAGTCCAAATTCCTCCCCCCTTGTTCTTGAGGTCCCCCACCCCATTCTTTCTCCATCTCTTTGGATATCCAACAACAACAATAACATATCGAGTATAATTTCACAAATAAAGTCTGAAAAGAATGAAGTGTACACAATCTTTTTAAGAGGTAGTTTCCGATAGACCATGCATGAATCAAGTAAAGCATATTAGCAAACATAATCGATCTACCACACAATATTATTCTAATAGATTCCTTTTCGCTTGCTTGCAAGACTTCCTCTTTATTTTTTTTAAAGAAGGGGACAAGTCAAGTAAGTATTTAGATTATCTATTAAATCAATCTAAAATAGCACACACATCTCGTCCTTCATTAATTTTCACTACGAAAAATACAATTTTCATAATAAAAAGCAGGTAAAATAACTAAAAGTACTTGATTCATTTCACACCTTTGAATTATTATCACTCGAATGACTTAAAAAAACAACAACAACGATCAGTATGATCCCATAAGTGTGATCAAATCTGAAGAAAGTAGAATACATGCATACCTTATCCCTACTTTGAGGAGTAGAATATCATAAAAAAACGAATTAAAAAATTAAATTTTAACTTCATAGACGATAGTGTTTTGCTGACAACTCGAATTTCCCTCTTAACAACGTACCCAATACCAACAAAGTTGTCTGTCTTCATATGAGATAATGACAGAAAAAGAACTTCTTACAATTCATATTATTATAACAATATCTTCTTTTTTTTCTGCTTTGTTTTTAATTTTAAAAAAATGCTTAATTTTTCATGTTGTCTTGTTTATATGATTCTAAAATTTGATGCTTCCAAAGGAATATCTTTGTAGTTTGGGAGTTTGTAAATTTAAATCTATTCTTTATTTAGTTTGTCTCTGCAGGCTATGGAATCTCTTTGGAATTTGCTGCATACAAAAACGCATTCGATATTTACATCAAATCATATTAATATTAATCATTATTAAGGAGCGATTCGATATGAGTTATAATAATGCTAGTATATATAAAGACATGCTATATATTCATCGAGTTAGTGTAAACATCCATCATTAAAGTTGAAGTCTATCCACTTCGAAACAATTCCAGACATGTGATATTTGAAGTTGTGCTTTTGCTGAAACTCAAACATATATAATCAAAGTTCAATCATTTTTGCATGGACTTCACTCATGTGGTTGGATTCAATCCTTTTTTTTATTTATTAAAGTTCGTCCATTTTTATCTGAACTTCAGCTATATATAACTTCAAACACCACCGGTCTGAAGTCGTTCTGAAGTTGGTAAACGTGCAAGAAGAATTTTAAAATGGATACAATAGCGGCCGTAAATTTTTGACCCACAGGCCACAAGTATAACACCAGATTCACTGCCAAATTGGGTACATATAAACACAAATTCAAGTAGACTGAAGTTTTTGGTCCCATCATATTAAATGGTGCAGTAGTCACCAACTTTTTAACAAACTTTGAATATAGAATATGGACTGTTGTAAATTGTGTTGAAACTTCATAGAAATATATATTATTATTTTTTATGATTGTGGTGTCCGGACCAGCTTTCTTGCACCTCGACTAATTCCAATAGGTACCAAATAACTCTGTACACCAAGGCTAAGACTAGGACAGGTAGGAAGAAATGTATTTCTGCATAGAACTCACTAAAGTCCAAGTCTTTAATTAAAGGAATAATTGTAAACCTTATGCAAGAGGAATAAAAGCATCACTTACCTATATAAAAATATTATATAAGAATGAGCTTGTTCCTGCACCACCAACACCATTGCCATAATAATATTCTTCAAAATTCCTAAAAATTCATAACAATGGCATTTTTAGCTACCATTTCTGGCCTTGACAATCTGTTCCTTTCCAATACCCTAAACAATAACTTTGCTTTCAGTAGAAAGCTCCCACCTAGCCAGTCTTACAGTTTCCTTCACAAGAAAATCCAGGCTAGCAATGTCGCGAACTCATTCCGAGCTTTTCAAGTCAAGGAACAAGAAGTTTCATCCAAGGCAGAGAAATTCATCTTGCCTAAGTTTGAGTTTCAAGAATACA